GGAGAGGTATTTTCCTGCTTCCCCATATTTCTTGTGGTCCTGCAGTGATTTCTAGTCATCTGGTGGATGGTCGGTTTCTTCCCAAACTTGGAAGTTCAATCTGAGGGTCGAGGAGTGTGCAGAAAAGGAAGCAGAGAGAGGGAAACAATACCAACAACAGCAAAAAAACAGACAAGAAACAGTGAAAAAGAAGAGAATAACTTTTAAATAAATCTAAAAAGAAAAATTAATATTCAAAAAAATTTCAATAAAGCTCAAAAATTAGAAAACCGCGCGGCGTGCTAGATCGCAGGAGCCATGGAGCTGTCTGTCTCTTGAAGAAGGGCTGTTCTGGGAGGAGGAGAGGGGATTATTAACAAGATAAAGGGCTAGGTGGGAGGGGCCAAAGGGTCCTGTAAAATGCCTCACCTTAAAAAAATTCTAAAAAGTAAAAAATTTTAAAAAAGAGAAAGCGAGAGCAAGAGAGAGAGAGAGAGGACAGAGACAGACGTAGAGAGAGTCAAAGGCAGATAGAGACAGGAGACTTGAAAGGGAGTTTTGGATGCTGGAGGCCCAGTTATCAGTGGGACATCTTCCTTTCTGCCCAAAGGGCTAGATCGCAGGAGCCATGGAGCTGTCTGTCTCTTGAAGAAGGGCTGTTCACGCGAGTTTTGGATACTGGAGGCCCAGTTATCAGTGGGACATCTTCCTTTCTGCCCAAATGGCTAGATCGCAGGAGCCATGGAGCTGTCTCCACATACACACATTTTAGAGAGGGATTTTTGCTATAGGGTATGTGAACTCATCAGAGACACAGAGAGAGACAGAGAGACAGAAGCAAGAAATCATCCCCCAAGGGGGATCACCATGCTCCAATCCCTTCTCAATTCTGTTCTTGGGATTTTGATCATGGATGCACCTGTTCCTGGCATGAGTTTCAAGCCACAGGTCCAGAACTCAAACCATGGTCAACCATGTGGGAGTCTAGGGATGTAAACATTATGCCATCTGCTGGTCCCTACAATCATCATTTTATTTATTTATTTTTTTTTATTTTTTCTAAATAATGGGTATTTTAATTTTTTTTCCTATTATTTGTAGGTAGTATATTTGTTTATCAGAGAATTTCTTATCATTAATTTACAGTCTGTACTAAAGATGTATTGTGCAAATGAAGGCACAGAGACTTTCAAAGTGTAGATATATTTCATAAAAAGGTGTTGATTTATCCATTTTCAGTCACAGTACTTAATAGAAAACAATCATTAAAAATACAGTTAGCCAAGACAGGTATAGAAAGGATACTTAGAGGGAACCAGCAGTTAGTGTAATGGCTATGTCGCTGGACTCCCATGTAGTCAACCGTGGTTCGCGTCCCAGACCCGGTGGCTTAAAACTCACGCCGGGCACATGTGCATGCGTGCCCAAGATCCCGAGAGGAGAATGGAGGAGAA